AAAATTGCAGATAAATCATTATATTTACTATTGCAACTAAACTCTGTAAACCCTTTATCTAATCTCTGATGTAAATAACTACTATTAGCTTCAAAACACTCTGAACAGATGTATAAGGGTCGTGTGTTATTTGTTGATGAAATGGAAATTAAAAGACAGCCTTGTAATGCTTCACATGTTCATAATCCTAAACATGTGACTCTAATATTTCACCCACATACTGTCCATGAATGCTTAGAACATCCCTGACCACGTATAAAGAAAACTTTATATTTATTGCAAAACAAGCACTGCGTATGGTGAAGAAGACTTTGACTGGTTCCTAGTGTTTGAATATTTTTATAATGTAGCTGATTTTGATCAAAAATAAAATGCTGATGACAAATACCAAGCTCATTTAATCTTCTATTTCATTGCTCAACAGTATCACGATCGACTTCTCAAGTACTTTTGAGTTAAATAAGTGGTCAGTTAGGGCCTCCAATATTAATTCTGTTATACCACCTTATTTTTTTATCACTATTGTCATTATTTATAATAATGCAGGGGTGTATTTATTATTTTCTACTAGTTGATTTGGTAATATTTTATCAATCCCTTCATCAAACTTATCAAGTAATATAGTTTCCATTTCATTATTAAGATCATAGTTTTCGTTTTGGTTCTTACTATCTTGCTGCAATATTTTATTTTTAACACCTTAATAGGTATCATTATCGAAATTAAGGACAGGAAAATTTTCTATCTCATTTTTAGATCCACTATCAGAATTACTGGAATACAGTTCAAAGTAGCTGTTATTATAATTAATGTTTTCTATAATTGTTTATTTGATTATAGCTTTATTACTATCAAATAAAAGAGATATCAATTATCAATTTAAATAATAATATAAGTTATACACAGCTTACATTAACAAGTCAGATAAGTGTATTTTAATAGTAGTAGTAGAGAAGTCAAAGTTGGAATTGCTTACTAACTTTTGTTTTATTATAGAATCAAATTTTGAGAAAAATATTATTAAAGGCAAAAGTTAAGGGTTTAAATACATTCAAGAATTTTTGCACCTACTACCAGTTAGAATAAATTTTTTTTTATATATTCGCTATATAACTCAAAAAAAAATAACAAAAAAATGCCATTATAAGTTGAAGACACGTTCAATGAATTACTTTTTTTATATTTTCGGAAAATAATTACTCACCAACTAAAAAAAACACATTCGGACACAAATTCCTTAATATAAAGAAAATTTATCTTTTTTTTAATAATCATTCTCAAAAACACAAACAACTTTTCTTGCACTATCTTTCTTACTATTGACGTAAAATGGAGGCTCTGATCAGGTAGATGTTTTTTTATCAATCCATCAATATGTTTTAGTATGATAACACATTACATTATTGGAAATAATGATAATTAATTATAAAATACTAAAGAAAGCATAGTGTGAATTTGTATCACTTCGTTAAAATTTTCTTGTGTTTAATTGAATCTCGTACAAGATTGCATATTCTTAGTGATGTGAGTTTTCCCAAATATTTATGCATTCTACCGGTATCTACTGTTAGATGATAGCTACTGGTAGCTACCACTATTGGTAGATTTATATTTATATAATTAATGTTTAATACTGGGCTAAACTAAATTTTTCTAGCTTTTATATTTAGATATTTTAATATTATAATAGTATGAATTTTAAACTTTATACTTTATTAAACTATCGAACTAATAATATACTAATATAAAGAAATTTACATATAAAGACCCAAAAATGAAATGGATGAGAGCCCAAAATAAAATTATTACATATAGCGATTCAAAAACAAAAATTATTACAAATAAGAGTCTGTCTGATTTTCAAGCTATGTTAGGTAATTAGCCACAAGACTTACATAGTGTCACTTAGAAAAAATAGTAGCTAGATGTTTTGCTAGCATACATGACTTCAAAAGCTAATTACCATGTAAGGTTATATTTATTATACTTAATAATAAATATCAGAACTTTGATTTTTATTTTGATCTTTGTTTTGACATTCAGTTGGTCTTCCTTTTAACTTCATTTTAATCTTTACTTTGATTTTCATTTTGACTTAGACTTTCCTTTGACTTTCGTTTTGACACTCACTTTGATTTTTGTTTTGACACTCACTTTGACTTGCTTAATGTTCATTTTGACTAACTTTCACTTTGACTTTTCATTGTTTTAATTTTCGCTTTAACTTTTATTTTGCTTTTCACAATAACTTTCACTTTGGCTTTCATTTAACTTTGACTTGCTTTTTGACTTGCACTTTTTTTTGAACATTTTTGCTAAGTTGAATTTACAAAATATAACAAGCTGTTTAAGTTCGTGAATACTTCATACTTCTTATTTATTAATGCTAATTTAGCTAGTAATACTAAGATTTAAATATTCAAATAACTATATATATTATATCTTTTTATTCATATTATTTAGTTATATATACAAATCTTTTAATTAATCATTAAAATTTGTAAAGTTATAAATTTGTTAGTGAAATTCAAGAGAGTACCTTTAGTTGTATTGTATAGTAAAGTTTAGTTTTATTTTTAATTAAAATAACAGCAAATTTGTTTGCTAAATAATATAAAATATAAAAAAATCATATTTAAAAATCAAAATATAACTATAATAATTATATTTAATATAGTTAAATCTATTCTATTCACTATCATAAAAAACTTTATCAGAATCTTCCCAATTAGCTTCACTATCTATTTCTTGTTCAACATCTGATAACCAGATTGATTCATTTTCAGTATTATCTTTGTTATTATTAGTACTTTCATTTTTATAAATAACCTGGAGATTTCAATAAATATATACTAACTCTTTAAGACGTTTATTTGTTAAACGATTTCACTTCTTAGTATATATATGAGAGTATGCTGACTAATTACATTCAGAACTTGCAGAAAATATTGGCATAACAAAAATTCGAACACAAATAATTGAAGAAATTGAAACTCAAATCCATATGTTATACAATAAATATTATTTAATTTAATTGTTTTAATAAAATTAATTTATTTTAATATATACCCTTCCACCATTTACGAGGATGCAATTCTTTTGCAGCTTCTTGTAATATAATATTAGTATCAAGAAGAGTTACAAGTTCTCCATATTCTCTATATAATCCAGCATGTATTTCTTTTTCAGACTTAGAAACAAAATTACTAATATATGGCATAACTTCTTGAAAAAGTTGAGTTAATGTATAAGCTATAGGACAAAAATGCTGATGTGGATAAAAACGGCCATCAAGAAGATATGCTAATTGCATTATAGAATTTTGCATATGATCAAATCGTTCAGTAATAATAGTTATTACAGAATCTTGAATAGGACTTTTAATATCACATTTTAAATTTTTTAAATCAATCATTTCTTTGTAAACAAGAGATAAAGTAGCTGAATCATTTTCAAATTTATTAATACCTGTATATATATAAAATAAAAGTTAGAAAAAATCTTAAAAAAAATAAATTATTAATTATATTTATATTTTACAATAGGGCATAATACTTCAGCTAAAATTGAAATATTATCCCAATTGTCTTCATCAGCAATTAAAATTCTAATTTGACGATCTTGTTGAGTTCGATTAGGTAACTAATTATTTCCTAATACACTTTAAATAATAAGTATTTTAATATTAAGATATTTAAATATATTCTTTATATTTATATATATAACCTGAATACTGCTTTTTGATTCTAATAACTTTTCAAGTACTTTTAATTGTGATCTCTATCTTGTTTTTACAGAATTTACTAATGCAATAGTTTTATTTATTTCTTGTTTTTGAGTTTTATGAAAATAGACTTTTACTACTTGATGAGAATTAAAATAATTAGTGATTTTATTTGCTGTTTCTAATATATTACATGCCCATTGTAAATTATCATCAATAGGATTGGATTTTTTAAAAATATCTGAAATAATTAAGTTTGTTAAATGTGCGGCACATCTATAAAAAAGTATAGAAGGAAAATCTGTACGAAGAATATTTCAAGCTGCATGCATATTAGCGGCATTATCAGTTACAACTGAAACTACAAAATTTTCCTTAAATTCTAAAATAACTTTTCGAATTCCTTCTGCAATATATTCACCTGTATGAGAATGAGTTTTTGTTTCTATTAATTTAAAAAAAATTGGTCACTCTGTTATTAAAGTTATATAATTAATAATTGATTCATTGTTCTGATTAGACCATCCATTTGTTGAAATGGAAATAAATTTTTCCTTTGAAAAAATTTTTTTAATTTTTTCTTTAACTTCCTTATATTCATCTCTTAGCAAATTATTACTAAGTGACCAACAAGATGGTGGATTATAAGTAGGTCAAAGTGATTTTAAAGCTGCAATAATAAAATTATTTTCAATTAAGGTATGTGGAATACCACCTGCATAAAATGCGCATGCAATTTTTTTGTCAATAGCTTTTTGTTCAATAGGACTTAATTGACATAATCAATAAGAATCAATTAGCAAGTTTGATTTTTCTTGAGTAATGGTAGTAAATGAAGTTATAGACTCATTTTGATTTGAAGTCAAAAAATTTTAATATTTTTGACAAGAATTTAAATGCGCCTGAAGACGTTGTACTTGGCCTGATAGTTTATGATTACAATATATATATTCTGCTCCTAGATTTCCTTTTGGTGTATTTAGTAGATATTTTATAAATTCTTTCCAAGCAGGATTAGTTATTTTAAAAAGAGATGTTTAAATAATTCAAATTTAAAAAAAATTGATTGATCCAATTAATGCTTCTTTTATAGTATTTCTAAAACTTTATAATGTTATTTAAATTTAGCTTTAAAATAGTATAGTTTTTTAATATAATCAAATTGATATTATAATTTTTAAATTTTATCATATGAAACAGCATATATATTAATATTAAACAAATATATAATAATTTATTTTATTGTTTCTTAATATTTCAATATTATTTTATTTAATACTAAAAAGTCTCAAATTCAAAGTTCCAAATACTAAAGTTTTAGGTATTGTAAAGTTAGCTAATTATGGCTGTAACTACTATCTTGCTCAATTGATTATAATACAATAAAAGTTTTGCCTAGCACAAGATATGCTTATACTTATATAACTTTAATGCGTAAGTATTTATTTAATTCTGCAATTATATATCTGGCATAACACTTATACTTTATTATTACTTACTTTATATTTTACTAAAATAAACTCTTAAATTTCTTTTGATAAATCGTTATTGTTATGAAACTAATGATCACAATACTTACTATATCTAGTCTTATTAATATTGTACGAAATAGTATATCAAAACCAATATAATAACATACTATTTTAAATATAATATAAAACTTGGTTAATTCAAAACTTTATAAACTTTGATATTGTAATTAAACTTTGCTTTGCAATAGTGTGGTAAATTAGTTGATAATTTTTTCTTTTTTAATATAGTATCTAACTAAATTAGTATCATAATTATTAAAGCTTACTGTATAAAATGGTATCTATATATATATAAGGCTAATACGTATAATATGTAATATAATATCTCTAAAATAATTTAAAACTTTGTTAATTCAAAACTTTATATTATAATAATGCGATAAAAACTTTTTTTTTAATGCAATTAAGTATCTAACTAATTTAGTATCATAATTATTAATGCTTACAATATAAAATAATATGTATATTAATATCAAACCAATATAATAACATAATATATCAAATATAATATGATTTAAAACTTCATATATAAAGTAAATAAAAGATATTATTGATCTTTATTTTTAGCTAAAGGTATCTACTCTGCATATTATTAGCCTAATAGTATCTATCAGTATCTACCAGTAGATACTAGTGGTAGATCTTGACCGGTAGCTACCAACTCATATCACTAATTGAAGTACTAAAAAAAACAAATAATTTAAATTTTAGAGTTGTATTTAAATGTTAGGGTTTAAGCAGAATTGACAGCAAGGTTTAACTATTATCATATAAAAAAATAGAATCAAATTGATGGATCAATGATTTAATTCAAAATCAGAAACCTGATATTCAAATACATTAATTCTGAAACCCATTGTTTGGTTATAAACTTAGACTGAAGCTCTTTTTAATTAATAGTATTAAACAAAATGAATTTTGGTATTATGAAAATTTTAAGCTGAAAACAATTTTCTCTAACAATGTTAAAGAATAATTTATAAAAAAAATAATATTAAAATTAACTTAATGATTGATATTTTTAAAGATGCGTGTAACTTTTATCCTTAAATACTGACAGTTAGTCTATCCTTCATACTCAATATATATGCTTAATACATATGCTCAATACATGGAGCCTTTGCAATAGAAAGGGTGGAAACTACCGCAAAAATGAAAATTAAGTTTTATTAAATTTGGATAAATTTCGATGTGATTAACATTATTCGATTATAAATGAAAGTCGATTTGCATAATGAAAAATCGAGATAATGTAAAAGAAAAGTTGCACAAGACTGTATAAAGCAAAGCACATCACGAGATTGCCCGGTAATCACCTGTTACCTTTAACCAATCAAAATCATGAAATTTTGGTTGACCCAGATCAGTCCAAAAATCAAAACAAATGATTAAACTCAATTATCTCAAGATGAGATATATTCGAGTTTCTGCCCTTTCTACTGCAAAGGCTTCACATATGCTCAATACATATTTCTTGCTTTGAATATGTAAGGGTGTCCTTAAGTGCCTTAGTTAATCAGTCGGAACGTCTTGAAGTAAATTCAATTAGTAAAAGAATTGTTTAACGAGTCAAATGTGTTTATCATTCCAATGAATAAGAAATGTGATGACAATAAAAATTTAATTAATGAAAGGTTGTTTAACTGATCGAAAGCAAATTAATAAACGATGAAGGCTCAGATATCCTTTTTTCATAGAGTTGCACTAATCGGTTTGATTGGTTGAAAATTTTAATTAATTGATGAATTGTTATCTTACCTTATTGCTTATGCTAAAAACCTTTTGCTGCAAATAAAAAAAGGCTGAAAGTTTATTTGTAGCTTTAGAATTCATAATAGGCTGCATTGGATATTTAGCATATGAAAGTTTGCGAAGCTTGACAAATAAGAAATATGATATTTCATTTTTTTATTGCATAGTAAGCTGAAAAAGAACTTTGAATTGTGTAAAAGACACTTTATTCTTTGTTTATACATCATTTTCTTTTTTTTCATCATTTTTGTTTTGTGAAAATATATATAATATCATTAACAATAAAAAATAAAGATGTTTATTCAAGCATCAATAGCAATCAATTGACATGATTATAAATTAATCTTATAGAGGATCATAGAAAGACTTTTATATAATTGACTGTTTAAATCAATTTAATTTTATATTTTTTATACAGTTTAAAAAACAACGAATGACAAAAAAAAAGTATATAGAAAGTTTTATTAGGACTGCAGGACTACAATCGAAAATAATCAAAATCACTATTTATTTTAGAGAAGTTTGTATGAAAATAACCCAATTCTATCAATTTTTCAGAAGTCGTTACCATGCCAACTTCTCTAAAACAAAAAAAAGATTTGATTATTTTAATAGTGAAGTTCTACAACCCTAATAAAACTTGAGATATATTTTTTTTATTCTTTGTATTTATTTTTTTTAAAAAATCTTTTAAACTGTATAAATTATATAAAATTGAATTGATTTAGCTAATCATATGGAAGTCTTTTGATTACATAGAGAGAATAATTCAATTAAATTATTTACTACTCAATACTATTGGGTTTTAACAATGGTCTAATTAATAATGGTTGAATACTATTACAATCATTAGCTAATCACATCGAGCGTGCTGCTTGAAAACACCCTAAGTCATCATTGCTATCATCGTTATATGAATAAAACAGGTTCTTTGTATATTTCGAGCAGAATTAAACAATAGCTGGAGTATCATGCCAAGACGTTAAAAATAGAACCATATTATTTCACAGAAAATCACTTCACAGGCAACTTAGTTCACAGACAATTAATTTACAGACAAGGTTATTTTACAGAATATTAATTCACAGAAAGTTTATTTTGTAGACCGCATATTTCACCAATAACTCATTTCACCAACAAATTTTTTACAAATTTCACTAAATTCTAAATATAACCTTAACAACAATGACTAGGATCACTTAGCCTGTGAAATAAGCTATCAGTAAACTAAACTATCTATGAAACAACTTGTTTGTGAATTAATTGTCTGTAAATAATCTTGTTTGTTATAGTTATTGTATGGGTCTGACGTAACAACCTGTGCGACACACTTCACATTAATAAAAGGACAATTTTAATGTTAATGTTATGAAGGCTCTGTCCAATAAGAATTTTTTTTAAAAAGCA